ACGCCTGCTTCTTGAACAAAGTCCGTATGACGACGAGCGTTGTCTTGCTGAACAAGGACGTGTAGACGACCCCCTATATACAGCAATAAAGTGGTTTGTAGGACATCGTCAACATAACGCGCAGCAGTCATATTGCCTCGAATAAAGAGAAGGAGTTACCATAGGCAATAGCCCCCCAAACCATTACTCCAACAGTCCTGTGTACATGCCTCTCAACAGCAGATCCAATATCACGCCGTTTTCCACGGCGGCGTGTTACCCTTCTACGACCAACGTGCGTAGACAAAATCGCGATTCGTCGCTGAAGATGACATTATGCCATTTTGCCTCCCAATGTTGCCGTTCTCTGTTCCATTTCAAACGTTGGCCACAGTGATCCGCAGTCAGAGGAAGCACTAACCGTGGACTGTATGGAAAAGTCCAAAGGTTCGAATGCGGCGATAGAGTGTACGCCTAGTAACCGGTCTATAGCTGTAGTCACCGTTCCTGGCGGTTACGAAATCAACGCCATATGAAATAAGTGAACAGATCGAGTCTCCGTACCATGGGCGGAACACTGCGCAGACTAATCTTCAGCGCATGTGCTACTCTCTCCAGGACTCATGAAGTGGGTAGCAGGGGACCGCTGCCTTCATTTCCTTCCTGGAAATATGTACTGTAATAAATTCAGCAAGAGCTGTCGGCCTTCTCCATTGATCGTATTTCAGGGTAGTGTACAATTTTATATTGAAGATTGATAACAGGACAACTCGAATTGTACGCCGAGGCCGAGTAAGTTGTCACTCTGACAAATATGATTGAAGGGCACTCCATACGTAACGAGAAAAAGTTTTCGAACGGAGACACACAACTAAAAAACGTAAGTCTTTGAGCTTACCGAACAAACGTTCACACGCAGCGGTAAATTGCATGTGTATGTATGAGGGAGATAAAGATACATGAAGAGACACTGGTAGTCTTACTTTGATCCGCCAAGGACGGTGACTACAACTATTCCTCCTTCTTCAAACTATTGGTCAGCGATCTGACACGTGGTAGCAAAACGATCTCGTGGGCTTAAAGCATCCCACAAACCGGCGCGAAATAATCGCGGCGAAGTATTCGCAACGAAATTCAGAGCGAAATTCGCAATCTGTTTCACCTGTTTATTCATACCAAAGCGTCTTATTCGCTCCGCGAACGTGAAGGTTTTCGTCAGGTTGCGTACATTTTATTTTTGCCTTTTGCAATGAGCTTGTCTTCAGAAGAAGAGGAGGCACTTCTATTTCTTGCTTTAGAAGAGGAACAAAATGCACGGTAAGTTATGTTTATTTAACGACATTTGATAGTTGGGTATGTATTAAGTTTAACGAAGTACATAAAACAAATATTTTCAATTTTGTTTAGGAAACGAAGGAAGTGGGTACATGATATTAACTTGGAACGAAATAAATTTGGGGAATACCATACCTTGATGCCACAACTTCGGCTGGATGAACAGCGCTTTTACGTATATTTTAGAATGACTCCAGAGTGTTTCGATGAAATATTGAAATTGGTGAAAGATGAAATACGAAAAATCTGACACAAATTATCGTGAAGCTATTTCGCCAGAAGAACGACTTGCTATTACACTCAGGTAAAAAATTATATGTATTAAAATTAGTAGGCTTATCGAATACGAAAACTTCAGGGATCGTGAAATAAATATTTTATTGTAATAATTGGACTACATGTTGCCACTAGGATTAAATGTTGCTAAATAATTCGAGGCAGAATTTGCCTCCTCTGTTGGGTATATTATTGGAGTAAACCCAGTGCCGCTTGGGAAGGACGACATACTACTATCATACATACTTGCAGAATTCTGGGTAGACGCTGAAGACATTTCTTCAATATGTTCAAATTCTTCGTGCGCTATTAATTCGGCTATTTTTAGTTTTATTCGGGCTTGACGCTTTAAGGGAAGTGTTTTCACAGTCTGTGCATGTGCCAAGAAAAGTGAATTAATGACTTCGTTCTCTTTTTTAGGTTTTTTACCTTCAAATAATTAATGAGCTGTTGTACAGACGAAGATGGTGGTTCATAGCGTTTTCTGCTCGTTTTATATTTTGGTGTAGTTGCAGTCTGCGGAAAGGTGTGCCCTGGAGTAGTCACTGCTGTAGTGTTCAATGAAGAAGGTGGTGCTGTCTGTGTTGCCGAGGCATTCTGTGCATCTTCTGCATCTACATCAGCATTTTCATCTTCTCCATGGCCGCGGTCTTCCAAATTTTCGGTTTCTACATTTCCAGCCCTTTCCTGATATATATTTGAGTTAAATTCGGCAGTCTCATAATGTATGACTCAATATCTTTCACATTAGACGACGTTTTGGCAAATGCCAAAAAAGGACGGAAAAATTCCATGTAGTCAGCCCACTGCCATTTTTTTATGTTGCCCTCTGCTTGGCCGGTCTTTGGTTTGGTAGATTTTATATATTTTGCAAATGTGTCTCTGATATTCTTCCACCTTTTTTTACTTCATCACCTAAAAACCTTGCACTGGTGACACCTTCTATATCATTGGGCATAGCTTTCGAGTTGGCTTTACAACAGTGAGTGCAATCGTAACCGAAGTCTGTGAAGCGATATGCAGACATATGCAGCATATATATTACCAGAACCAACAGAGAATATATGGAAAAAATGTGCTGAAGAATTTGAAAATAGATGGGGATTTCCCAATTGCATTGGCAGCGTGGACGGTAAACATGTAACAATCAAGAGACCTAACAACAGTGGCTCCAATTACTGGTGCTATTTACATAAATATTCAATAGTACTTATGGCCATTGTTGGCCCGGACTATAAATTTATATGTGTTGATATTGGTGGTTTCGGAAAAAATAGTGATGGGGGTATTTTCGAAACCTCAAACATGGGAAAACGATTTGAACAAAATTTAATGAGTGTCCCTGCACCTAGATTTCTCCCTGGGCAAAATGAAATCTGCTCGTACGTCTTAATTGGTGATAAAGCATTTGCTTTAAAACCATACCTTATGAGACCATTTCCTTATAAGCAGACTTTAACAGACGTCAGAAAAGAGAAATACAATGTAAGACTTTGTCGAGCTAGAAGGGTCGTGGAAAATGCGTTTTGGTATTTTGTCTCAAAAATGGCGAATATTTTACAGGCTATTAGAAACTAAAGTAGATACTACTATTCTAATTGTACGTCCGGCATGTGTTTACACAATTTTTACGAAGTAAAAGTGGCGATGACAAATATTGTTAATTCTTAGATCCCCCTGAACCCGTGCTTGGAGCTTTTACTGATATAGCAAATGATCCTCGGCGGGCAGCAAGGCTAGCATTTTCTACTCGTGACAAATTCGTAAATTATTTTAATTCTGATATGCCTATGCCCAATACATAGAATGTTCGTTTTCACATTTGTGTAGACTGTAAATTATTTAACAAGTTAATAAAAAATATTAGGTACATACCATTTGTATTTAATTCTTTTCCTATTTCCATCCAAATCTTGTCTTTCTTTCTCACATTCCTGTATTCATCGTTCGACAAATCATACAAACAAGGATACTTTTTCTCTATTTCTATCAATAATTCCGTTTTTGCCATTGCGAATAACGGCATCAAAAACGCGGTCAAAGGCGAACTGAAATCCGCCGCGATAAAAACGCTGGAACAATCGCATTCGCTTCGCACAAGTCTGAGCCTGTCCGTAAACCGCCGCGTTTTAATCTGATCGCGAATTCATCGCCGCGAAATTTTCGCAGCCAAATCGAATATTTCGCGCCGGTTTGTGGGATGCTTTAAGCTCTGTGGTACGCCTCGGTGGATCAGTTGGCCTTCGTCGTATTCCTTTACCCTCTTCTATCCACACACGACATACGCACGTTACCGTCATGTCAGTACAATTAACACGACGGCCAATTTCGCGATAGGACAAATCGACATTTCGTAGGCAATGATTCTACTACTCTCAAAGTTGCTAGCAGTGATGATTTGGACGTTTTCGAATTCGCGGCATTTTGTTATGCTTAGCACTAGTAAATGAAGGGGCAATAACAGGTAATATTCGTATACAAAGAGATAGCATTTTAAAAAAGGTGCTTTAAATATACTAATTATGTTGCCAAAAGAACAAGCTGAAAAAATTATTTGTTCTAGGTGTGCCACTTCTTAATGTCACTGAGTAGATGTGGATACTTCATTTAGTGTATCCTTAACATGTGTATAAGGACTGTAGATACTAAACTGAAATGGCCATTACACTATACCTACCTTGAGGCATACGGAAATTCTTTCTTCCACAGCTTTCCACGAACCCGGATCGCATCCCTATATATCAGATATTCTCCAATATAATCTTCTTCTTCAATCACTGTTTCTCACAGCTCATACCGATTAGGGATACTGCCAGAACGACAAAAGAAACGTATACACTGTGGGATCTCCATTATATTTTGTTTCTGACTTCTCAACTCAATTACCCTATTGAAAAAAAAGACAATTTATTTATAGTATTCAGTATAGTGTCTTCTGGATAATGTTAATGAATAATGATGTATCTACGGATATTTTAGCTTCCACGGCTTCTAATCGTAAGATGGAAATATAGCTTTTCGGGAATTAGGAACAAGGTTAATAGAATATGTGAGCTGCGGTCTTGTACGTCTAACACGCAGCTGACGAAAATCGCTTTTCTTCTCAAACATTATCGTTAATTATCTTTTATACTCTCTATCTACTGTCAATATTAGAAAACAAAGTCTTCGGGCCATAAAATTTCGGGACTAGCTGTCCGGGGATTTTCCGGGACTATTCCCTGGTCCATAATATGAACATTCACTATGAAGCAACACCGAAGCGGAAAAAAGTAATACAGCTTTGGAACGACAAACGATAGGAATAGTTCAGCTTTTGTATATTTCAAGAAAACCGTGATTGTTTTACCATAATACAAATGTGATATGTACATAATAAGACCATATGAAATATTTTTCGATATTTCAAGGTACTTGCACAGTATCCACCTCTTACAATGACGAAACTGTTGAATCTCTTTCATATAGACTTCATAGTATACCAACTGGAACGTCAAACATGCAGAGAAATTGTTTTCAAGGAGTTTCCTTAAGAATGGATTTCCGCCTGATTTTTGTTTGTACATTTACCATAGTTCTACGATATGTGCTACGAGTACATGAAAGCAGTCACCCGCCCCAAACTTGGAGTGTATACAGTGCTTTTCTTTAATGTCCCACTCCCCTTTGGTTTTTTGGATGGATCAATTCAAAAAATTAAAACTTGAGGTAATGAAATTGATACGTGGATACCATATCTTAGAGTAAAATTGACAGATCAAAATGTCAAGATGGCCGCTGGGCGCCATCTTGGATAAAAAATTATATGAAAACGGGGGTCTTGTAGCACATCATTTTGAAGCTCCTGACGAGTACTTTAAAACTCTGGAATATAGAGTCAATACCTTCACCTACTACAAAATGGTGGTACATTTAATAATTACCTGAAAACAATGACATTTACGTTGAGTTCAGTTTAGAAATGCTGGGAATGGTTGCTTTGAACTTGATATATAATAATTTTGCGTCGAACCTTTTCAAACGTAGTAACATCGATATTCCTACAAATATTTGTTATTCTCAGCCGTATATCCAATATTGAAGCAGGTTAAGTTTCGTACACCACTTGCTTCAAAAAGCCACATAAAAAATGACTAAA